AGTGCATTACGTATGTCATTCACAGCATGTCCTGATTTAGTTTTTAGTTGGTACAAGAAAAATATAAAAAAAAAGAAGGAGGAGCTCACTTGGACGCAAGTGAAGCGACTCATCACTGAAAGGTTTGATATACAGACAACCAACTTTCAAAAGGGATTACGGTTACTTCGTATATCACCAACATTTGATGAAGATTTCGTGGACTATGTTGACCGATTCACAAATCTTTTTGACGAGCTTACGGAAGTTAATGATAATAAGTTGGTTGTGATGTTATTCTTTAACAGTTTACCAAAGCAGTTTAGGAAAGTCATATATGACAAAATCAACATGATCACTGGCAACAAATCTGATGAAACAGATCCTTTTCCCGCAACCTGGAGAGAAACCGCAGTACTCTTCAACCAACATAAGGTGATGCTCAGCAATGAACTGAAAAAGGTTTATGTGTCTTTTGGTAACAAAGACAGCTACGCACAAGGTTTAAAAAGGGATAAGAAAGCGAAACCAACATCAGATAATGATGTGGCTAGCAGTGACAATAAGAAATATAATTCTTTGAGTCGTCATGATGCCATCAAACATCATGATAGAAAACGTAAGCATGCAGCTGATGATCATAATCCTCGGATGCAAAAGACTTTCAGGCATAGTCCTAATGGCAGTAATGTATCTCGCTGGGCGCCTCATAACAGGTTGTCTACGACCAATATTTGCCACTATTGCAACAAAGAGCCGTTCAGTTTGGCACACAGAAATAATTGTGCAGCATACTGTACATCAAGCTGCAGAACAGCAATTTCAAGACTCATACAAATGACAATCGTGGTAATAATCATAGGAATTATACTCCTTCATATGATAAACAAAATAGCGAATTTAAACGCGTCAACATGGTTGTTAAACAAGATAAAAATTACAATCTACAGGAACACGACGTTGACATGATTGACATGGACCATCATCCTGTCAAATCATTCCATGAAGACGACATTGATGAATTCAAGGATGAATTGAATCGACTCAAAAACCAAAAATCTGATGATTGTAAGTACATAATAGCAGCTATAATGGATCATAAATCCTCAAAAGCCATTATGAAACAAAGCCCGTTGACACCTCTTTCACCCATCCTTATAGAAGGTCAAAGACTGATGGCTCTTCTGGATACTGGTTCGGATATATCAATCCTAAATAAAAGTCTTCTGAAGTCAAATAAAACATTTCAAAATCTTAAATTGAATGAGATTGAGGGCGATATTGTCTTTGCACAAAAGCACAATACTATTAAAAGATTAGGCCAAACCAATAAGCTTAATATTTCGTACAATGGCCATGTCTGTCAGCATGCCTTTGACGTATTTGAATTACATGATGATAGCATGGATGCCATAATTGGCAAAGATCTTATGCCACACATTGGCGTAACCTTAACAGGTGTGGCTGTTAATTGGGATGACAACAAGATTATCCATGATGATTCTATAGATGATCGTGAATACCAACCCAACATTTCTTATGCAGGCACTGAATTGCAACATAAAACTTTACTATCTGCACTGCAAAAGTATATTGATGAAAACCAGAAAATTGACAAGAATTCATTTTGTAATTTACCTGAAAGTGTGGTACATTTGTCTACACCTGAAGGTAAAGTAGCCTATAGGAAACAGTATCCTATTGCAGATACACTCATGTCCGTAGTGGATGACAATATAGAAAAATGGTTATCAGAAGGCACTATTGTGCAGTCTAACACACCAACAGGCTTTAACAACCCTTTAACTATCAGCAAGAAAAAAGATGCTCAAGGCAACCTCACTGCTCATCGTGTATGCCTTGATCCTCGAGAACTCAATAAAATTCTCATAGAGGAAGATAAATATCCACTTCCACTCATCAACGATATCTTTCATGATATGCAAGGTGCAACTGTATTCACTACACTTGATTTAAAAAGTGCCTTCAATCGTTTCAAGATCTATGAACCTGATCAACACAAAACTACATTCACACACAGAAATGTTCATTATCACCATGTTGGTGCACCATTTGGCATCAAAACACTCACTAGCAAATTCTCCCGTGTAATGGATATCATATTCAAGGATATGAAACAATTTACTCACCACTTTGTAGATGATGTCTGTATCTTTAGTCGTTCTGTTGAAGAGCACTTTAGTCACGTTAAGCAGGCCATTCAAGCTCTCACCCGGAGTAATCTTATACTCAATCCTGAAAAATGTCATATAGGCATGAAATCCGTATATCTTCTTGGTTTCTGTATTTCAGAACAAGGTCGATCTCTTGATCCCAGAAAGCTAAGCAATTTACATGAATACCCCAAGCCTACTACGGGCAAACAAATGCAACGATTCCTTGGTTTAATTAACTATTTCAGGGAACATTTACCTTTGGCTGCACACTTAACTGCACCATTGGATGGTTTACGCCATTTGGAAAGCTCTAAGCACATCACTTGGACTCCAAAACTAGATGCTCACTTCGATGCCATTAAAGCCATTCTGATGTCCAACATTGTACTTAAACCTGTTGACACAACCACACCCATGCATGTAGTTACTGATGCTTCTAATTTTGGTATTGGTGCTGCGCTGTATCAAGAAGATGTTACTACTGATGCCAATGGCATCACGACTAAACGTATAGTCTACAATGGCTTCATGGCTCGTTCGCTCTCCACTTCAGAACGTAACTATCCGGTCACCAAGCGTGAATTGCTAGCGATCGTTTTTGCGTTGAAGAAGTTTCACAAATTTCTATGGGGCCGACATTTCACTGTTCACACTGATCATCGCAGTTTGACATACTTATTCACACAGGATAACATCAATCCTATGATGATTAATTGGATGGGAACGATTCTCGATTATGATTTTGATGTCGTTTACGTTCCTGGCATACTGAACATTCTCAGCGACAAGCTCTCTCGAATTTTTCAGACTACCTTGGAACTGGAGGGGGGTGATGAGACATTTACAACTCACAATCTCGACAAAAAGCAAAGAGTAAGCAAGAACAAAGCAGTCAGAAAAGATGGAAAAGTAAAAGTCTTCTATGTTCAGAACCCGTCAAAATTCTCAGACAAAAATTATGTTACACCCGACGAAAAAGACAGACAGGATATTTTAGATGATGCTCACAAATTCGGGCATTTTGGTGCTGATCATATTGTCAAGCACATTCATAACCAAGATATGCATTGGCCTAACTTATTAGCAGATGCAGTAAAGTATGTTAGCCAATGTCCTACATGCCAAAAGTACAATGTACACAAAAAGGGATATAACCCTCAGAAGCCAGTGTATAGTTATATGCCTGGTGATTCATATGCCATGGATCTGGCTGGCCCATTTAAATCCAATCAAGGGCAATATACCTACCTACTCATTGTAGTAGACATTTGTACACGATTTGTTATACTGGAACCACTAGTTGATAAAACTGCCAAAGTGGTTGCTCAAGCTCTCATCAAGATCTTCTCATTATTAGGATACCCACGTCATTTCACTATTTCTGACAATGGCACTGAATTCAAGAATGAAATAATCAACAGCATGTTCAAGCTTATGGCAATTGACAAGCGTTACATCACCGCTTATCATCCAGCTAGTAATTTAAGTGAAAGGTTTGTGCAAAGCACAAAAAAGGTATTAGCGAAAATAATGGAAGGAAACGGTGAAGATTGGCACTATTATGTCCCTTCAGTGCAACTGATGCTTAATAACAAAGTGTCCAAGAGATTGAACTCTACCCCATTCTCACTTATGTTTGCACGTAAGATGAATGACTTTATCCGCTATGATAATAATGGTGAAACTACAGAAAAGTCATATATGACTCATGAAGAATTGATGGAAAGAATTGACTACATGTCTAGCATTATATTTCCAGCCATTGCTCAACGAACTAAACTGTATACTGACAAGCAGAAGAGCATTGCTGATGGTAAGCATAAAATAATAGACTACCCTGAAGGAGGACATGTTATGGTTAGGGTAAGAGACAGGTACAACAATTTGTCACCTGCATATCAAGGACCATACACTGTAGTCAGGAAAACACGAGGTGGATCATATGTGTTAAAAGATGAAGAAGGCATATTAATGTCTCGAAACTATTCACCTGAAGAACTAAAGTTAATATCACAAGAGGAAATCATACCTGCAGAAGAATTATATGTAATTGAAGCAATTATAGATCACCGTGGAGAACCAGGCAATAGGGAATATCTTGTGCGCTGGAAAAATTACACCAAGGATGATGACTCTTGGATTCCACCTGAAAACTTCACTGATCCTGAAGTAATCAACGAATACTGGAGACGATTGGGAATTAAACTCTCCCATGAAGATATGAATCAGGAAAAAGAACGATATACACCTCCAAAAAATTACAAGAAATCACAGATGCTTAAGAGAATTATGGATGCAGATGATCTTGAAAAAGACATGCACACAGTAAATATGCGTACAGATTCCACATCAGGAAATGGAAAACGCAGGAGATGTAATAATAAGCACACCTCAACATCAGAGAGTCGTGTTATGCGTCGTAGCAAACGCAGTAAACCATAAAGTGACTAGATCATTGGGACATTCGAGTTGTACCTTTTTTCCCACTGGGTTTTTAACAGCATTCATCCCCATCAAGATGAACTTGAATGGATCTGGTTTGACTTTAAACTATAGTATGCACACTACTCAATTGATAACATACCATACATGTATGTCAAATCACTTCATTCACTGTCCTCAAATCAACGAATACAGGTTGATCATGGCAAGCTCACAGAAATGCGTCAAAATTGAATCAAATATTAGGCTTTGAGAGTGCACGCTCAATTCCTTATTATAACTTCTACAAACATTACGCAACTACAATCAAAATATGTATCCTCACCTCCACTTTTAACAGACGATGTTCCATCTGGAGGGGGGTAATGACGTGTTTGGTGAGATAATAACTACAATACTCGAGTACGTACAACCAGGTAGAGAATACATTCTACCACGGTCTATCTATATTGCATCTAATATAGGTTATGTACAACATAGAACAAGATATAGGCCTAAGTATAATAATCACCCAATAAGCATCTGAACCTGAAATTAGTGACTAGCATACGCATCCTCAAATAATATAATTCCCATTAAACCTCACAAAGTAAATAATCCTTCTACTTCATCTGAAGAATAATAAAGACACCTAAGTTCATAGTCATCGACTTACAACTGTTATCAATTTTTTAAATAAGCAAATACAACAGGATTGCTGGGAATCTTTCGATGAAGAAGGGAAGAAAGGGATGCCCTTTCGTAATTGGTCTATATGTTCTTGAGTGATCCAGGTGTTGATCAAGAAGGTCTTGGCTACAGCGTAGGCTACTGGAGTGCGAATGAAATCCAGGGCTCTGAGGCAACGGAGGGTATGGAACTCACGAGCTTTGGCTTGTTTTTCTGCCTCTGGGAGAGCGGCTAGTTCGGTATTATGGAGGATAGTACCAGATAAGGGATCAAAGTCTGCAAGAATAGGAACCTTGGCTTTGGTGAGACGTTGTTTAACGATAGGTGCATAATCGTTGTGCACCAATAGGCTGACGGTTTGTTTAGCTGGATATTGGATATCCAGGATGCGCGATGGGTTGATGTGTATGGCAGCAAGTTTAGCACGTAATTCTTTCAACTTATGGCGAACACGGCAGGGAAGGTGAATGTATTGGTAACCTGGATTTGATGATGCAGGTTGGAACAGGCGTACAGCAGCTCTTCGAGCAGCAGTAGTGACCTTGGGTGGAGCGAGCTTATTGCTGTTGGCTTTAATACCACGATGAGCTGCAGCTTGATAAGGGGACATTTGAGGGGGAGGCAGAGGAGTGCTAGTAGTGCTGGGTGTGTCATCATTGGCATATTTCGATGCTTGTGATCCTTGTGGTGTCCTAACTAGGATATGCGAAGGGGAGGACTTTGTACCCATAGGTGTGTTGGTAGGGATTTTGAAAGTAAAATCACCTGGAGCACGAGATGGATCGCTAGTTTCAGCCATATCAACGTCGTTGTTGAAGGTAGGAGAACGCTGAAGCTGTTGTAATTGCTTACGGAGTTGGTCATTCTCAGCCTTGAGAAGGGCGTTTTCAGCTACTAGAGCCTCCAATTGAGTCAGGCGAGAGCTTTGCGCCTGAATCATGTTGAACAGAGCCGTAATGTACTCTGGTGCATTAGGTGGAACGATGATTGGTGTACTACCACCAATGGGGGTGGTTTCCCCAAATAGAATAGGAGTGTTGAGCACATCCGGGTTGCGTTCTAGCTGCATTTCTACTGGCTCGGTGGTTGGTGAGACAGTAGAGTCAGAGGGGACAGGAGCGGAGATGGGCTTGATTTTTTTGTTATTAGATTTTCTAGTTACAGTCGTTTTACCCATGGTGGAAAGAAGTAAATGGTCGTCGTCAGCAGAAAAAAAGGCTGTGGATATTTCAGTGGCTGTTCTTTTGCTGCCACAAACGCTGAGAGGGCGGCTAGAACTGTTGTTTGTGTTGCTTACTGTAAGTGATGAGGGGCTTTTCTGCTTTTCAGATGTCGCAGATGTTGAGATTGCAATCTCAAGATCGTTTGTACTTTTTTCTGTAGGTGCTGTTGAGAGTGTCGTTAAGGCTGTTGGGAGCTGTTGTTGAGTGTCCTGGACAGGTGCTGTGGTGTTGCTAGTGTCTTTGGTGGATTGTTTGGTTGTAATGGTGATTGTTGCGAAATTTGTACTTGTCACGTGACGAAAAATACCTGTATCCTCCAAAAAAAGTGATGGAAAAGCGGAAGAAAAGGTTCTTCGGTAGTATAGTGGTAAGTATCCCCGCCTGTCACGCGGGAGACCGGGGTTCAATTCCCCGCCGGAGAGTTTTTTTGTTCACAAAATGTACGTCTAGCATAGTCTTTTATTACTTTATCGTGTGTCTTGTGTCGTGCCTCAAAGTAGGTGATACTAATTAGTAACCTTATGTAACAATATAATAGTTAAAAGATAAAGGTCAAGGTTTTTTCTCCCTCTGTAAGATTCTCAAATACAACAGCCAATCAAAATTAAATGAGTTTGAAAAATTAGTATAAATACGTTCATCTTTCTGAAGAAATCAAGAAGACTTCTCTCCATTATCTTTTATTCTTAATAAACTTATTGTTGTATCCAACAGCATATTACTCTTGGATTATTACATAATACTGAAATAAGAGATTGCGGATCCTTATGAAGGTTAGAATAACCGTGAGTGATAGATTTGTTAGAACAATTCTTTTCTTTTACGGAAGAATATTTCATCTGTATATCCGAGACAGCATTGGATGAGTAATTGACTTTATTTAGGAATAAGATATTATAGTATTTGGATTTGATTAAATCAGATAACTTTATGTAGCAGATCAAACCACAATACATAAATCTAATCTACTTAAGCTTTTATCTTCTAACTTGTTGATCCTTACTTTAACCCTTTACATTCTGACAGAATTCAATAAGACTGAAAACGTAGACGTCGGCAGAATTAAGGAATAGTTTATCCTGTCCGTCACGTTAGTTATAATGAAACTGCTGAAGTACTGGTCAAAGGAACCTTTAGTTAGATCAACCCACTTACCTCCTGTCACCGATCCAATCGGTCAAGGCACCGCTATAGCATGATGAACCGTGCAGTAACAATTGGGTATGTCTTTTCTTTTATCATCAGGTCATCTTGTACCTAAGAGTCTCGATAGAAAAAGTTTTTTACAATATCCACAAATATAAATAGAAGTACTTTTTTCCTACATGGTTTTTGTCTTCAATTCTTTATCAGAATATTCTACTTAAAAAAAAGAAGATAACTTGGTCTTCACTGATTCCCTTTTGTTTTCTTTTTCTTATACTTTATCTTATCGTATACAACAATAGTCTAATATTTTAATGCTTACCATCAGCGATGCCCTTCTGCTTGCCAGTATACAGTTTAGTTTGTTGAACAATGGCTGGAAATATAATGTTAGACATGTAGTCAATTCTTTCCATCAATTCTTCATGAGTCATATATGACTTTTCTGTGGTTTCACCATTGTTATCATAACGGATTAAGTCATTCATCTTACGTGCAAACATAAGTGAGAATGGGGTAGAGTTTAATCTCTTGGATACTTTGTTATTAAGCATCAGTTGCACTGAAGGAACATAATAATGCCAATCTTCACCGTTTCCTTCCATTATTTTCGCTAATACTTCTTTTCGTGCTTTGCACAAATCTTTCACTTAAATTACTGGCTGGATGATAAGCGGTGATGTAACGCTTGTCAATTGCCATAAGCTTGAACATGCTGTTGATTAATTCATTCTTGAATTCAGTACCATTGTCAGAAATTGTAAAATGGCGTGGATATCCTGATAATGAGAATATCTTGATAAGAGCTTGAGCAACCGCTTTGGCAGTTTTATCAACAGTGGTTCCAGTATATCAAATCGTGTACAAATGTCTACTACAATAAGTAAGTAGGTATATTGCCCTTGATTGGATTTAAATGGACCAGCCAGATCCATGGCATATGAATCGCCAGGCATATAACTATACACTGGCTTCTGAGGGGTATATCCCTTTTTGTGTACATTGTATTTTTGGCATGTAGGAGATTGGATAACATACTTCACTGCATCTGCTAATAAGTTAGGCCAATGCATATCTAGATTATGAATGTGCTTGACAATATGATCAGCACCAAAATGCCCAATTTATGAGCATCATTTAAAATATCCTGTCTGTCTTTTTCATCGGGTGTAACGTTTACTTTTCCATCTTTTCCGACTGCTTTGTTCTTGCTTGCAGATGTCTCATCACCCCTCTCCATTCCAAGGTAGTCTGAAAAATTCGAGAGAGAGCTTATCTCTGAGAATGTTTAATATTCCAGGAACGTAAACGACATCAAAATCATAAACGAGGATCGTTCCCATCCAATTAATCATCATAGGATTGATGTTATCCTGCGTGAATAAGTATGTCAAACTGCGATGATCAGTGCGAACAGTGAAATGTCGACCCCATAGAAATTTGTGAAACTTCTTCAACGCAAAAACGATCGCTAGCAATTCACGCTTAGTGACCAGATAGTTACGTTCTTCTGAAGTGGAGAGCGAATGAGCCTTGAAGCCATTGTAGATTATACGTTTAGTCGTGAAACCATTGGCATCAGTGGTAACATCTTCTTGATATAGCGCAGCACTAATACCACATTTAGAGGCATCAGTAACTACGTGCATGGGTTTTGTTGTGTCAACAGGTTTAAGTACAATGTTGGACATCAGAATGGCTTTAACAACATCGAAGTGAGCATCTAGTTTTGGAGTCCAAGTGATGTGCTTGGAGCTTTCTAAATGGCGTAAACCATCCAATGGTGCAGTTAAGTGTGCAGCCAAAGGTAAATGTTCCCTGAAATAGTTAATGAAACCGGGGAATCGTTGCATTTGTTTGTCCGTAGTAAGTTTGGGATATTAATGTAAATTGCTTATTTTTCTGTGATCGTGAGATAGACCTTGTTCTGAAATACAGAAACCAAGAAGATATACTGATTTCATGCCTATATGACATTTTTCGGGGTTGAGTATAAGATTACTCCTGGTGAGAGCTTGAATGGCCTGCCTAACATGACTAAAGTGCTCTTCAACAGAACGACTAAAGATGCAGACATCATCTACAAAGTGGTGAGTAAATTGTTTCATATCCTTAAATATGATATCCATTACTCGGGGAGAATTTGCTAGTGAGTGTTTTGATGCCAAATGGTGCACCGACCTGGTGATAATGAACATTTCTGTGTGTGGATGTAGTTTTGTGTTGATCAGGTTCATAGATTTTGAAACGATTAAAGGCACTTTTTAAATCAAGTGTAGTGAATACAGTTGCATCTTGCATATTATGAAAGATATTGTTTGAGTGGATGTGGAGCCCGGCCGTTGGTATGCCAATACGTCTTTACGTTATGCTCTTGTCTCCGTTCATCCACCATCCGACCCTAATTATTATGACCCGACTCAAATACCATTATGTTATACTGTCGCCAATGCTGTTTCGTGGTCCTATCCGTACAATCAATTCACCAATTTTTGCGGATTGATACTCCAATCTCTAATAAGGTTGGGGAAGTGCTCAAGCTGTTGAAGACCGACAACCCTCCCGTTGCCTGGCGCCATAGTATTAAGAAATTTATGCCCGAGGATTTCGGCCAGGATGTTCCTCCGCCCCATATGCGATTCCAGATTGCTGCTCAACGATCCTTGCAAATAGTCAACCTTGATACGTCCATGTGAGCTCCTTTTAGCGACCATTGGACAATCACAGTTGGAAATAATAAGGCCATTCCATTGCTTAAATCAACACCAGGGCTATTACGGCAATATTGGTCGCAAAGATATCTTCAAGAGAAAATCCCAGGTCCATCATCCTCAATGGGTATCCCGCAGGTCCCATATAGTTGTCCACCAGGTATCTGTCATCCTCGTGGCTGAAAAACGTTTTGGTCTTTACGCATACCACATTCAGTTCTCACCTGCTGGTGGCGTTTGTTACGTGCTTCTCTCAGCACACAGATGTCATTACACCGTCTTCGCCTGAGGGTCTGGCCTTCCACTGCTTGTAAATTGCGTACTGCGTCAGTTGAAGATGAATATCACTTCGTCGTTGGCTGCCCTTTGAAATGGTCATATTGGCTTGAAGCTTTGAACTATTTGTCTCTCTCCACTGTCATGCGGTCCCCAGATGATGTCTGGCATGTTCTCCTTAACTTGAAGCTACCGTCGGATGTTTATACTGATAATTACACACTGGAATTGGTGGTAACATTTTGGAAACTCTTTGGAAATACCATTGGTCTACAGTCATTCGTAACGATACTTGGTCTATTGATAATGCCATTAACCGATTGAAATCCTCGGTAACTCTCAAGCTCACTCTGAAAGTTGTGAATCACTCATCCCAGCAAGCCACAGGCTAAGTGCCTCTTTTGTATTTGCTCCTATCACAAGGTCTGCCAGAAAGTTTATAATTTCTTTTTATTATACAACCCTATGTATCTCTTTTTTCTCCTTTGCTTCTTCTGCAACAACAACTTAATAAAATCCTTGAATTTAAACAAAAAAAAAAAAAAGTGGAAGTGGATATTTACCTTCCTCAATGAGAATTTTATTGAGTTCTCGATGATCAAAGCATACACGATGAGCAGTGAGGTTGCCTTGAGCATCTTTTTTCTTGCTGATAGTCAAAGGGTTGTTAAAGCCTGTTGGTGTGTTAGACTTCACAATAGTGTCTTCTGCTAACCATTTCTCTTCATTTTCATCCACTACGGACATAAGTGTATCTGCAATGGGATACTGTTTCCTATAGGCTACTTTACCTTTAGAAGTACCACACTTTCAGGTAAATTACAAAATGAATTCTTGTCAATTTTCTGGCTTTAATCAATATACTTTTGCAATGCAGATAGTAAAGCTTTATGTTGCAATTCAGTGCCTGCATAAGAGATCTTGGATCGATCATCTATCTATTGAATCATCATGGATAATCTTGTTGTCATCCCAATTAACAGCTACACCTGTTAAGATTACGCCAATGTGTGGCATAAGATCTTTGCCAATGGTGGCATCCATGCTATCATCATGTAATTCAAATACGTCAAAGGCATGTTGACAGACATGGCCATTGTACGAAATATTAAGCTTATTGGTTTGGCCTAATCTTTTAATAGTATTGTGCTTTTGTGCAAAGACAATATCGCCCTCAATCTCATTCAATTTAAGATTCTGAAATATTTTATTTGACTTCAGAAGACTTTTATCTAGGATTGATATATCCGAACCAGTATCCAGAAGAGCCATCAGTCTTTGACCTTCTATAAGGATAGGTGAAAGAGGTGTCAACGGGCTTTGTTTCATAATGGCTTTTGAGGATTTATGATCCATTATAGCTGCTATTATGTACTTACAATCATCAGATTTTTGGATTTTTAGTCTATTCAATTTATCCTTGAATTCATCAATGTCGTCTTCATGGAATGATTTGACAGTATGATGGTCCA